CCCTCACCCACAGACACTCACAAACACACACACTGTCCCTCACCCACTCTCTCACACACTGTCCCTCACCCACACACACACTGTCCCTCACCCACAGACACACCCTGTTCTCACATACACCAATTGTCCCTCACCCATCCTAATTGTGTGTGACACGGTCACTCACACATTAACACGCAGACCCTCACCCCCCCTACACACACATACTCTCAGGCATTAAAGGGACGCCCCCCAGCAGCAGCCAAGAGGCAGGAGTAAGTGGCTGACCTTGTGAGGGAGGGAGAGGGGCAGGGGCGGCTATGAGACACAGGGAGTGGAGTAGAAGGGAGGGGGAGTTCATGGGGAGCAGGTTAAGGAGGGGTGCTTGGCTGCTGGGGGGTCACTGTGTGGCAGATAAGGGACACCCCCCCCAGGCCAGCTGCCCCAGAATGCAACCACACTGTGCCCCTGACCCAGGCCATCGCCTCCTGCTCCCAGGCCTCCTGGGTGCCCGCCTGTAAGGCCAACAGGGACATGTGCACAGACCCCCAGCTGTGCCCAGGCCTCCCTGGCCTCCACTTGTGGGCACACATGGCCAGGGTGGACCCAGGAGTCCCACCAGGACTGAGCCCACCTGCATCAGTGACCTGTAGAAACCATGGGTCCCCCCGGGGGTGGGGGGACAAGGTGGCAGAGCACCCCAGACAGAGGGCTCCCAGGGAAGAGACGCTGCCCTCTCTCTCGGCTCAGTTCTGAGTAAAAATCAAAGACTTTTCTAGAGACCTTCATTTAAATAGCTCCTAACAGTCATCATTTAAATAAGGCTTTGGGACTGGGGCTCTGAGAGGGCTTCACACCCTCCCCTCAGCTCCTTCCCTTCTAGAAAGGGCCAGCAGCAGTGGGCATGGACAGCAGGCCCAGCAGGCTTCTTCACCGGCAGTCACTGCAGGGTGCCTGGATGATGGGCACAGGGCATCTGTGGCAGCTGCTGGGGGCCCAGGACATTCTCAGAATGCGAAGTGAGTCAGCTGGTGCTGAGAACCCCGGGCAGCCTGCACCCCAGGGGGAGGGGCAGCACCCCTGGGGGCCTGTGTCCAGTTTGGGAGAGTTCCCCCTGAGGCCACTGGGAGGGACATTTGTGGTTTTCAGGACTGCATTGGGATGGGAGACTACGGGCCCCAAGTGGGCAGGGGCCCCTGCAGCGTCCAGGACAGCCAACCAGAGAAGGTCACCTGTATCTGAAGCTGGAGCTTCTGGCCCAGAGGGCTGGGTGGTTAGAGGCATGGGGTCCCTGCAGCTTCACCTCCTAGATGCACACCCCACCCCCAACAGTCCCCAGCTTGGGTGGGCCAGCTGAAAAGGGCAGGGTCTGCAGTGAGGCCGCAGTGACTAGCATGTTGGAACCCAAATCTTTGGTGGGCGCCCCAGCCTGTGCCAGCAGGACAGCACCACTGCTGCTGGAGAGCCCAAGCTCTGAGCAGGGAGGGCCTGGGCCCCAGGGGGAGGGGGGAGGCCGGGCTGCTCTGCCAGAGTGGCAGGAGGGGCTACAGGTCTTCGTGGGAGGGGCTCAAGTCCATGCGCCGGGCCTCCCCAAACACCAGGAAAGAGCAGAGCCCCAGGACGCTGACCACGGCCACCAAGTCAAAGAGGGAGGCCCAGGAGCCTGTGGTCTCGATCAGGTAGCCGCCCAGGTACACGCCCACCACACCTGGAAGGGAGAGAGGAGAAGGGCCAGGTGGGCAGGCAGAACTCAGGGTGTGCCAGATACAGTCCCTGGAGTTGAGGGGTGTCTGGCACGGCC